TCATCTTTTTTTCAACAGAAAGACAATAATCTGGAATTTAAATGGTTTAACGAGGAAAACAAGCTGCAGGGATCAGGAGAGACGCTTACAAGGAAAACCGGCGATGTGGTAAACACCAACTTCTTTTGCAATGTTTCAAACTCCATCAGCTCTGAGATCAGTGACCTTGCTGTACAAAAGTGCCCAAAACCCTGTAAGTATTATTTCTATCGACTGTCCATTCAAATAGTTATGACACTGACCATTTTACACTCATGTCATGATAAAAATCTATTTCTTCTTCTCTTGTTTTATTCCTGAAGCTTTTCCTAAAGAATTATTTGGAATTAGCATCTGGGTTTTTATAGGAGGCGGAGCAGGTACGTGTCATGTTCTGTGCAGTCGTCAGATTATATGCAGTTACTCTGAAAAGCATTGAAATCAAGCTTCACATACAAAACCAATGAATTCTCTATTTTTTCCATGTGTAATACAATTGATGTTATTCTCCATCAGGTCTTCTTATTTTGGTGATCGTCACTGCCACAGTTTGTTGTGTCCGGGCCAGACGAAAGAGACGCATATGATAAACGGTAAATGTATTTACTTATATACTGTTATTATTATTATTTTAGTTCATGTTAAAAATATAAGCCACTGCGCTAAGACAGAACATCTTAAAAACTATTTTACTTACGTAAATGACTTAGTTCACCCATGTACAGCCCATCCATTCACCATTCATTGTGCATGTAGGTTACTTGAGGAGCTCCCCAAGGCTCAGTCTTAGGTCCATTAGATTTATATTATTTGTACTTTTGTTTTTTTTAGGGGTTATGGTTAAGATTACTTGCATTCAGTTCAAAATATTTACATACAGCAGATAATGATTCACTTCAAGGGACTTTAAACTTCAAGTTGCACAGAGCCCCAGCAGTGACTGGGTTTAGGAAAGGACCCCCCAGTGTCTAGATGCTGGGGCTGGTAAAGATAAAGACTGAGCCTTTGATGGAGCTCTGACTGAGGTGTCTGTGAGATGGAGATGGAGATGGAGGTCAGTTGCACAAATTACAGTCTGAAAGGTAGAATAATGGTGAGCAGAGATTTAAACCACACAAACTGGAGGCTGATTGGCCCAAAGAAGGTGAGCAGGAAGTAGATTAGACCAGAGTAAAGATGACAGTATTGAAATTGACAGAAGAGACTGAACACCCAGAGAAACTGATTACAGATGTTACTTACTGAACTTATGCATAAGCTTCATGTTCACTATTCATCTTCCGGGACATTGTTTAAATGAACATGGAAGTACCAGGACCTGTGCAGTCCCTGGCACAGAAATGTAAACAGTAGCTGAGAGGTGTGTTTCTTAACACATAAAGTAAATGCTGTGTAGCTACTCTAAACAATTGCAGACGATCATGAGATGTAAGGTAATCATAGCTTCATTTTTTAATTGAGAAGTTGCTGGATTGTTCTGGCACGATGAGTTCATTTTTGGGTGTATTATTCACTCTGACATTAAACTATAATAATAATAATAATAATAATAATGTTACATCATTAAATAAACAAACAACATTTTATGCCATTTGTTTACATTGTATTTGTTACTTTGTTGAAATATGGGGACGCTGTGACACTCATTTGAACAACATCACTGCGACTGCTTCTTCTATAAAACTCTGCTGTTATCCCTACATTTAAATGACATCTCGTCTCTTAGCTGCTGTCTTCCTGCTGTAGCTGGACTGCATGGTTCTTAAACCAGATCTGACAAACAATGCTTATTGGCAACATGCTGAAATAATGATGGTCTTAAAACAAGATTAACAAATAATAGTGCACCAGAGTCATTTTTATTTACATTAGCATTACATTAGTTAACATTAAATACACTTGGAGCTTTGAGATTCTTCAGTTCTGGGATCCAGGGGCCATTGCCAGCTCTGATTGATGAGCTAAATTCTCCAGCACGGCACAACACTGTTCATTCTTTGTAATATGGCTGAAATCAGATTCTTTATATTTATTTTTTTTTCTAAGCTGACACAGGCCCGTCAAATCCATATTCTTACATATTCTTAGCAGTGGCAGGCATTGCTCTTTTCTTGTTAAAAACACTGAAAGATGATTCTGCAGGTCTGACCTGCCGCCTATGCTTATTTCAACAGATGGCAGGTCAGAGACCTTTGTTTGCAGTGGACGAATCAAGAACAGCAACAGCATCACCTTCAGCAGAACCACTTGACAAAACCACTATAAACAACATGTTCAGCAGAGTCCTAGAGCCATACTTCTATGCAGCCTGTGGTCTGAAGACAGACAACAGGAAACAGGATACGACATAAACACCATTCAATATGAGTGCTGAGGTGACGTGATGTTCGCAGGACGCCCACAGAGTTTCATTTTGATGTTTGTCAGGTTCATTGCGAATGTACAAAGAAAATTATAGATTACAGGAATTTAACCCTAAATAAGTGGGTCATTTAACGATCATTCGGTGATTAGATCAGAAATGGTAACCTTATTATGATTGTCAGTGATATGTAAAACTAATGTATTTGATTACAACATCTCCTGATGTGTAGTTTTGTAAGCAGACCTTCACAAAGAAATATTGTTTATGCTATATGTGTTAATGCTTTTGTTTAGGTCTTTCATTTTGGAGGAAATAAGCTTCAGTCTTTTTTGCTAGGCAGGTTCGTGCTGTATATTGTTAATGAGAGCGACAATTCAGGATTTTATTAGTATCTGTTGTGCATTTTTCTTTGTTCTGATTTGGAGATTTTCATGTTTGAATCACGCGCTGGACAAGAAATTAACCTTGAAATTAAAGCAAAATGATAAAAATATTTTTTCTCAAAGAAAAAACACGATTCCCTCCCTGGGTTGATGGCATGGTGCGTCTAAAAGGATCCTTAAAGATAACAAGTCTGAGGAAAAATGACTTGATTAAACTTCATCATTGTGGTTTTCAGTGAATACAGAGCTGTAGAAAAGAATTAAGGATTAAAAATTAAGAACAGAAGTGTGTGTTTTGGTTAAACTAAGAGCAGAATAGATTTAATGTGGTCATGTGAATATGAATATTTCTCTTAGTATTCCTCTTTATGCCTCACCAAAAATAAAATTAATGAGTCTATTTACTTGGACACTTTCAGCTGAATGTTTTAAATATATTATACTGATATGTATATGGCCATGTTTTTTATCAATTTTTATAATGTTCTTAATATATTTACAAAAATAAAATGTGCTGATGCATCACAAGTCCCCGTGTAATCAGTCAGACCAAATGTATATGCTCATATATTCGAGTCCCAAGTGCCAAAGAAGTGTTTAGGCAGATCAAAAGTCATGACTCCATGCACTGTTAAACCTCACACTCGAGGTGTTATGTGAATTGTAAAATGTTATGATTGAAACCACTAAGAGGGCCTAACTAAAGGCCTACGTCATGCAGTTTAAATGTTCTTTAGTTTTAAGACAGACTGTCTATCACAGACCTCATACAATTCAAGAGTGAGGACCAGTTGGTTTGAAGCAGACTACATATAATACTAAAATGTTCTAAAGTGTTGGGATGATCTCAAATCTCATAAATCTATGTTTGAATCACAGTAGCAAACAGGAAACATGTCAAATCTTTAAAATGATATCTTCAAACTTTTAATCTTTAGACTGAATTCACAACTTGTAGAAACAGGTAACAAAAGGCTGGAGAAGTAAATGGTACTTCGGACCATAAGGCGCACTGGATTATAGGGCAAATAAAGCGAGACAAAACAGATGAGTCAAACTTTACTCAACTCATTCTTCTTGCTTCCTCCACTTCCTCCGTACCGTTGATTCATAAATGTTGAATTCTCTCACAGCTGCT